GTCCCTCTGGATGCCATCCCGTCTCTCCAGCATGTCAACTACCACAACAATTTCCATATGTGGAAATTTGTATTTTATTATTATTTTACACTTAATCAGTAATATCCTCTTTCAACTACAAGAAAGTTACTAAGTTTGAAAAACATCTCTGAATACAGGCAGACTAAAATCAGCTAGAGTTTAGGTAGAAGAACAAGACAGAACAAATACATTTGAAATGAAAAACAGGCCTTTCCCTCTTGGCATATAATCTATGGTGTGTGGTGAACTTCTGAATTACATTTTTGGGCATTGTACAACTAAATGCAATTTATGAAAGTATCACCAAGACTGAAGGAAGTTATCTACATCCAGCAAGCGAATAAAACTGTTTCGGTAAGGTAACATTTGCATTCTCAGTCCTGAAAACACTCTCATACATGGGTAATAAAGTACTTCAGTAATTGCACTGAGTTAAAGGAGAATCAGTTGAGTACTTAAACTTCAGCACATTCATGTGCATTAATAGGATCAAGATTTTATTAGGCAACATTTGATATAGTTATCTGATTCCGTACTACCTGGCAACTAGGAGACATCTTTGCAAGAGGGTAAAATCTGGATCAAGCAAAAGTTTCTTTATGTCACTGCAAAAAAAAAAAAAAAAAAAAAAAAGTAATAAATAATCTGTAAAATACAAACAGGATATACCACCTACAAACTGGGGGAAAAAATACACAATTTCTGTTCTGAACTGAAAAAATGCATCTATCAAAACAATTCCAACAGGAAGCACGCATAATTTGAAATATAATTGATCACCAGGAGCAAGTCACTCCACCAGTTTCAATACAAATAGTGAGTCTTGTCAGGAACCCCTTATTCTTGTAATAAAGGGAACAACCACAAGGGTGTAGGCAAAGCTACAAATTAGTCTGCAGTGATTCTACAAATTACAAGATTAATTTAATTACAAATAACTTTACAACTATGTAGAGCCATAAGAGATCCACATGCATGAATTTAAGTTTTCTACATGTTTCATGGTGGATAAAAATATGCTAAGTTAGCATTTCCATCCTAGTAAGTGAAAGCACAAATGGAAAAGGGAAAAATTTCTGTTTACTAGCTTCAAATATTATTTTCATAGTTTAAATGGAATGTCAAAATCTGTTTTGTGTGTAAGCAGAGCACTGTGCACGAACATTAATCTGGAATTATATTTTCAAGAAAAGATTTTTAAAATTGTCTGTTCTTTGTCAGAGCTTACACATCTTAAACTTTGGAGTATTTAAATAGCAGTATCCAATACAGTCTGGACCAACATCAAAGAACCACATATCACCAAGAAGTATTGCCTAAAAAATTACAAATGCTCACTGGTCGATTATAAATTATATACTAAACTTAAATAGTACCTTTAAAACTCTTGTTGTCAGCCACTCCTATCTTAAGTCAATGTTAAAAATTCAACACTGACTTCCACCACACTTTATGTATTCAGCACAGTAGATTTTGACTGTTGAGTCAAATATTTAACAAACTACTTTAAGATAGTTTGCTTTTTTTTTTTTTGAGATTATATTACGGTTTATTTTTAATTAGAAAAAATTGAAATAAAAATTTAAAATCTTCAATAAAATGAATAAAGCACCACCCTTAGGAATTACACAAAAATATAAATTAACTGTGTTTAAAATAAAAGCTGTCATTATTCAAGCTTATCTTTAGAGAGGCAAAAAGCATTCTTTCTCCTTTAAGTTGTGAATTGCCACAAGTTTCAGGTTTTTTGCCTTCTCTGAATTCACTAGCTTACTCAAATATTAATAGAAAAATTCTTACTTGGACAATCCATTCAACTGCTCTTGGAGAAGGCTTTTAATATTTTCATTCTCTGGATAATCACTGGATTAAAAACAAAAAAAAAAATGAAAAAGGTTTTCTATATCACCAAAATGACAGAATTAGCTGAAATGAAAGAGTATTACTGGTAGCAGAAAAACATAAGAACATATATGGAAAGAATCTTTCATATTCTTATGGTAAGCCATTCACGCATGATTCTTTATCTAGTTACTAGTTCCAAAATAGTAATGAAAGATTGGTTTTGCTTTCTCTCAACCTCGGAGTCAGAGCCATCAACCTTTCATTTTTCACTATTCTTTTATTCATTAACCTTGAAATTAATGAAAATGACAATGCCTAGCCCATTCTTACATGGCCATCAACAGTACACAAACACAGTATAGGATACAGAAAGGTGCTCCTACTAAGATGTGAAGCATGGCTCACTAAAAGTAAAGATAATGCCTGTTAGACTATCGGAATATCACCTTCACTTATATTCTAGGAACCACCTCTGACTATAACTTCTTGAACAAAGAGAAAATACACTTAGCTGAATCATAGAATCACAGAATGGTTAGGATTGGTTAGCTGAATCACAGAATCACAGAATGGTTAGGACTGGAAGGGACCTTAAAGATCATCCAGTTCCAACCCCCCTGCCATCAGCAGGGACACCTTCCACTAGACCAGGTTGCTCAAAGCCTCATCCAGTCTGGCCTTCAACACTTCCAGGGAGGGGGCACCTACAACTTCCTTGGGCAACCTGTTCCAGTGTCTGACCATCCTCACAGTGAAGAACTTCTTCCTAATATCTCATCTAAACCTCCTCTCTTTCAGCTTAAACCCATTTCCCCTTGTTTTGTCATTAACTGCCCTTATGAAAAGCCCTTCCCCAGCTTTCTTGTAGGCCCCTTCAGGTATTGGAAGGCCGTTATAAGATCTCCCCAGAAGTAATGTAAGTAATATAAAGTAATATGAAGTAATATAATATGTAAATGACATAAAAATATTGCCAGGATCTTAAAGTAGACAGCAGTTTTCAAAAGCCAAGGGCTACTGAAAGTCAAAAGAAATAAAACACTTGACCTTAAAGCCTTTTCTGTTTAAACTAGTGAAGCTATTATCTTTTAACTGTCCCAAGGAGTGATGAAACTTATGTCTTACAGTTATTTGCACAGAAAAAATAATAAATGATGTAGAATTAAAAAAAAAAAAAAATTATATATATACATATATATATATTTCTTCTTACATGTTTATAATATCTAAAGAATATTTCTCATTCCATGGCTGATGCAACAAAAATGCTTTTAAAGCTAATGAAGCCCTCGGAACAAGCAGATAGGGACACCATGCAGGTTCTGCAACAAAAGGAAAAGATTCATTGTTGAGTGGTTAATGTGCAATAACACTGTGTTCAGTAACCACAGAATGTACCACCTTGTTTGCAAGCACCAGAAGAAAATAATAAATCACAGTCTTTTCATATACACAGCACGGATTACTAGACATAAAAGCTTATCTTTACACTCAAGCAAAAACATTTCAGAGAAGGTACAGGGATATCAACTGTGCTCAAATGAGAATTTCAGGACATTCCCTATTGAATTCAGCCATAGATTCCTGGAATACATTACCCTGCCATTAAGTAGAGCTGTATATGATGATTACTGCTACTACAAGGACATGGTGGAAAATAAGTACAGCTATAGCAAAATATATCATAATGTATGTTTTAGTTTTACTTTGCAATCCTAGTTTCTTCAGTATGATACAAGGATGAATACTCATCATCTCAAAAGGATGTTGGGAAGTTTAATACATGTCTATATTAATAAAGAAATTTGAAAATTATATTACTGACTGTTGTCATACAAATTTAAAAGTCATAAGGTTTGGATAATAGGCAGTAAATGCTACCCAGTGACTTAGGAGTAAAACAAGTACCAACCAGCTTCATTATTAAATATCCAGCAAGTCCCTGTACTTCATATGCATTGAATGATGTAGGAATCTTGTAAATGTGATTTTGTAATTAAAAGATTATCACAGTGTAGAGGCAGAAGGATAGCTAAATTGCAGGCAACCTTAACCCTCGTGTATCCTGATTTCAGTGTGCTTGTTTTTAGAACATGGATTTTTATAGCTTAATATTAGAGAACATTCATTTGATAGTAAAAATAGTTGTGATAAATTATGTCCTTCCTCAAACATCCCACACCACAGCTCCCAACATTACAATTTTGTTTATTACATGTGTCTTAATCAGAATCTACATGTTTTAAGGAAATTGTATCAGTAAAGGCAGGATTGACCAAAACAACTAAAACAAAAGCAGTTATTTGGAACAGCAGTAATAAAAAAAAAGAAAAATGTAGCTTAGTTAACTGTTTAAATTTTTTAAAACTACTTAAATATATGGCAAAAAAACCAAACAGCACTAATATTGCTATTTCAGAGTTCTGTGGGAAAATCTACTTTGAAAAGCAATGAACCAGTCTAAAAACTGCATTTGATATCTGGAAATATTAGAAAAACATTTTCACACATCAACAGATGTTTTAAAATCATGCACTGTGTACCAGTGATGTAGGTTCTGATGTCTAATTGAGGTACCGATGCTTTTTAGGTCAACTTGCTTATTTTGTTAATATATCTTGCAATTAAGATTTTTAAAAGTATAGTTTATTTAGGAGATTAAACTTATATTAGAAAAAAACACCCATATGACCTAAGCCTAAAAAAAATTTATCTGCATCTATGAAAAGTATTTCAGGGACACCTAAACCTCTATACGTGACAATTCCCTATTCTAACAGAAGTGCTGAACATTTTTACAGTCCACTTTCAAAATGAAATATCTAGCTGTTAATAGCAAAAAAGAAATCAACATACCTATTAAGTCCTGTTCATCCATTCTAAAACAAGAGGGTTTCATGGACAAGTCTAGAACTCTAATGCACCCATCATCTGATGCCAAGACCACTTTGTCTGAAGTGCACCAGTCTACATCCAGGATTCGGAAATTGACGTTTCTTCCACTTCTTAAACTGCTCACCATTCGTACCTTGAAAAGTTGGGTTATTTTTCATTTTTAGTAGGCTCTCCATCAAACAGTGTAAGACACTGTCACACACCCAGGAGGTATATCACAAAATTTGCAATAAAAGGTGAAGTTAGTAATAAATCATTTTAATGATGGTCTCTTCTGGAGAGTAGGGAATTTAGAAACCTTGGAGTAGGGCACATGGTTGCCCTGAAACGACACTTTTTCCCAACTGAGAGCTGAGAAAAGATCCTTTTGAGCACAGCTGTACAGCTGCCTTTTTGTTACCTTTTCTGACATAAAATTTCCACGGTAAACTGGTGGACATTTACAATCTCTCTTTTAACTTCAGTCCCTGATTTAGCATACATGCTCGAAGGGGAAAGTGAGGTTCTTGTTAATTAACTCATGCTCTTCATAAATAGGTACTTTCTTGATAAATACTGAACTTATTTAGAAATACATTTAGACATACTATTAAGATAACATGGGAATAGAATGATTTATTGTCCACAAACAAAACAGAGACAAACAAAACCTTCTAAGCCACGCTTTTAACCACAGTAGTCATTTTGTAACCCTCCTGTAGCACCACAGAACACTACAATTGTTAAACTAAGGAAATCTTAACAAAGCTTCCACTGCAATCAATATTCTGCTGTTTCCTTTCACTTGTTCTAGAGCAAAGCACGGAGTTAGAGAGGTGTGAGGTACAACAGCTCTAGAGCATGACTACTCTTAGCACTAAGGGAATTAGGAGAAAAATGTTGAAATATCAGATAACTGGTTGTAGGCACAGGTGAAATTCAAAGGACAGGATTATATGGACAATAGAACTGAGACAATAAAATATTTTTACAGATACTTTTGGCTGGAAATGTGAATGAATTTTAAATGCTTTCATACAAGAAACACTTTCTCTTGACCCAGAAAAAGGTGGAACAGCTACAGGAGGAGTATCCCATGGCAGCAAAATTATTCAAATATTCTTGAAGAAGAGACTCATGGGATAATATTCTACTCTGCCTATATAATTCACAGTTGGTCATATCTGCTGTCTAACTCTTACCATCAATGGAAAGTTTCATATTCCTCAAATTAAGTGTCTGAGTTAGGAACTGGTGCTCACTACAAAATTAACAGAAAAAAAATTAAAATTCTGGTTTCCTACCCTCATATCCTGAACATACTCAGAGTGGCTAAGCTAAAACAGTACAATTATCGCTCCTTCCCCATGGTACTATAATCCCCTGAAAGACCTATGAAGCAAATCCCAGAAGATTTCTGAACATTACTACAGAATTTCTGAGTCAGATGAGAAACCAGACAACATTAATTAACAAGTGTCTAGCTTTCTGGTATTCTCTAACAAATTAAATCCATGTACTGAAGAATACATACTCTTTAATATGCACAGCAGTTAAGAAACTTGTAGTAAAAATACTCTCTTGTTCACAGATTAAATTCTAAGATTGAGGTCTCCTCATTAAACTTTTGATGTTTGCCTCAAAAACATTACAAGAGAATGACAAAGAGTATCTCGGAGACATTGTCAGCTTTATGAGTGGAAGGTATTTTTCATTGATGACAGCTTAAAAATGTTTTATAGGAACTAAAAGTCCTCTGAGATATGCCATACAACTTTGTTATACAACTGTCAGCAAGAAATCATGTCTAGGTAAAACTTAAACCCTGACTCGTTCTGCTGTTCAGAGGTCGGTCTGTATGCAAAGAAGTGCATATCAAAACAACAGATACCTCTTTTGAATCCCAAATTTCTGCTCCATCATTGTACATCACAAGAAGTTTCTGATTTCCCTTCCCTGGGGCAAAACGTATCTTTTTCACCCAGCTTCGGTGTGTAGGAATGCCCCTAAGGAAAGAAAAACACAAGATTAGTATAAAATCTTTTTATACTTAATATTGTGGGTAGTTAAATCATTCCCATGAACACTGCAGACCCTGATACTGTACAGTTTGAGAAGGACAATCTATATATGCACATATACAAATAGCTACCCAAATTGTCATGAAAACTAAAAAGATGAAATGCTTGAAATGAACACAATACTCAACGTTTTATCAGAAGCCATTGTAGATTTAACATAAGAAAGAAATTTAGGTGCTTTAAAAACTCTGATAAAATGTTACTCCAGCTGAAAAATACAAAAGAGAACTGTAAAATGGTAGACATTTTCTGAAATTTTATTTCAGAATACTTGCATTTTTTACCTCAAACACCAGAGATGATCTCCTACAGTGAAGAACAAAAATGAGGAGGGTGGAGGGCAGAAAACATTCTAACACTCATTATGTGATGTTTGTCAGATCTCATTTGTATCCATACCTGGATACTCTAGCTTTCAAATCCCAGAAATTTAAGTTTCCATCAATGTCTCCAAGAACCAGGATATCCCCTTTCCAGGCAATACACGTAATGCTACCCATACTTCCCTAGAAATATTCAAAAAGCAGAATAAAATATTGTGATTAAACGAATCAAATACAGGAACAAGCATTTCAACATTAGTACTTTTTTTTTTTTTAATATTATATGACATGATGGACTAAATTCTGCTCAGTTTAAATAGAAACTATTCTAATGAATAGAAGCATTGATCAAGTCAGTTATATTTGCTTCAGTATGCTTCAAAAGACGTTTCCTTGTAAGAAATTTTGGGTTTAAAGCAATGGAAATCACTTCTCTGTCTCTTGTTGCAAGGAAACAACAACATAACAGACCTCATTAAACACAATAGAAAAAAACCAAACTTAAAATTCACAAAACAGTGCTCTGGTCCACTCAAGTCCACCTTATGATGCAAAATAAAATCTATTAACAGAGTACAGTCATGTCTCAATAACACTCTCTTTGTTATTCAAGATTTTTGTATATGCTTTGGTAAAATTCTTAAAAACAGGTCATTCAGTTTAGTCAGAGAGCAAGTCAGGGCCTATGAAGATTCTAACATTAAAAAAAATCATTTATTTCAATAGTAAAACTATAAGATTGTGAAAAGAGAATTGCTACAGTTTCTGAAGTTGGAACTTTGATTTTGTATTTCAGTCTACTGGCATTAACAACCACCTGTCACTACAATGGATATTCCTCATTTTTTTTTCTAGCAATCATAGGTAAGAAAAAAATTAAAGCATCAATGATACAGAAAATTGGAACTCACATCAGGAGGAATTTTTGCACTGTCTTTTACTGAGTTTCCTTCTACTGTGAGATGATAAACCTGCCCATCAGCACCTGTAAACACAAAGTGCTCTCTGGCAGAAATGTTCTGGCTCAGCTCCGATTTGCTTTCAGCTTCCTGTAACAAGCTTTGAAGAGAACACAATGAGACACAAGTATTTCTTTCTTGAAATTAGAATTGCAAGGCAAATTCTCTCTAACTAATACACAGAGGCAGCACAAAAATGTGTATTTCCTTCAAAACAATTTACCAGAAGCAATACTTAAATCATTTTCATAGAATCATACAATGGTTAGGATTGGAAGGGACCTTAAAGCTCATCCAGTTCCAATCCCCCTGCCATCAGCAGGTACACCGTCCACTAGACCAGGTTGCTCAAAGCCTCATCCAACCTGGCCTTCAACACCTCCAGGGATGGGGCCCCTACAACTTCCTTGGGCAACCTGTTCCAGTGTCTGACCACCCTTACAGTAAAGAACTTCTTCCTAATATCTCATCTAAACCTCCCCTCTTTCAGCTTAAACCCATTTCCCCTTGTTTTGTCATTAGTTGCCCTTATGAAAAGTCCTTCCCCAGCTTTCCTGTAGCCCCTTCAGGTACTGGGAGGCCGCTATAAGATCTCCCCGGAGCCTTCTCTTTTCCAGGCTGAACAGCCCCAACTCTTTCAGCCTGTCTTCATAGGAGAGCTGCTCCAGCCCTCGCATCATCCTGGTGGCCCTTCTCTGGACTTGTTCTAACTGCTCCATGTCTTTCTTATGTTGGGGGCTCCAGAACTGGACGCAGTATTCCAGGTGGGGCCTTACAAGAGCGGAGTAGAGGGGGGCAATTTTAACACTTGTGGAAACGTTCAGGGGCTTGGAGTTTACTTCAAGAACCAGGTAGCTAATGAACTGCTACAGACACACCTGAGAGAAACGGGTACACTGCTTCTCTCATCCAGCAGTAAATCAAAGTCCCATACCTAAAAGCTAATTGGAGGCCCATGAAGTTGCTTTGCCTGCTACGTACTCAAGAATAGGTTCCGAAATATTGTGTTCTATAGAACAAGAGCACACAGTGGAAAAACAACAACTTGATGTAGAGTAACATTAAACCAGAATGAGAAATACCTGATAACAGAAGATTCTACACTGCTAACTTCAGTATCTGATGCAACCGTTTGTCGGGCCATGGCTTCACGGGCTGCTAACTGCTTCTTCCTCAGGCTCTTTAAGTTATGAGAAGGTGACCACTCCTGTGAAAAATTGTCCAGGAAAAATGGAAAGACAAATGTTTACTCCCTGAATGTACTGAGAATTTTTTTGTTAATTACAATGATTTCAATGAAGATTGCTTTCTATGATACCTCCCCTCCATTACCCAAGGAGCTGACCAGATTTTTTCACCAGTTCCTCCTTTTTTCTTGCCTCTACTTAATGACAGATGAAAACAGAAAAGTGGAGTGAAAGCACTTATCCGTATGCTACAGATACAGTAACATTTTGCTGCAAAATTATTCATAGATTTTTATACTATCTCAACATATTACATTTAATAAACACTAAGTAACAGATTTTCTTCCTTACCAAAGCGGTCGCTGTAGGGAAGTTTTTAGACATTTCTCTGAGCAGAGTGCATGTTCTGACATCCCAGATCTCCAGTGGTTTGTCTCTAAATACCACAGCTAGATACTGCCTAAAACAAATAAGAATTTACTACATCAAAAGTAATCACTCCATCTTAATTTAAGCATTTTCCTTCACACATCTTCATATCAGCACCCTGGAAATCCTCAAAAACAAAGAGGAAGTAGTGTAAATTAATTTGGCTCAAATCCCACTCCAAAGCTTGTGATTTCCTTGAGTTGCTGAGGTGCAAGAGAGTCTGTGTGAAAGAGTCCTCCTTCAAAGCTAAAAGAATTAGAAATTTCTGTCAGGGGGTATTGTTCAATTACTGTAAAGGAGACAAGGAAAGGAATTCAGGCAAGCAGCAGCACCTCTAATTTAGCCATATTCAGCCCAAGTTGATGACTGCACAAGATATCAGAAACACATCAAAACTGCAGGTTGGACAGATTTTTTTTTTCTCTACTCTAGATGCATGCCACTTCCCTAATCCAGCGATAAAGGAACATAAAATCCTCTTACACTAAACCACTTGTCACTCATGTCTTTAGATCTTTCTTGTGTGGAGCTAGATGTGTAAAACACCTTCAATTTACCACTTTTTCACATGTAACTTGGACACGGTTCTGCAGCTATATGTACTCTTTTCAACTGCATTAATCTCTACTCAAATGAACAATCCTTTCTTGTTCTCACTTAACACTCTAGTCTCTTCATCAAAGCCCACAGCTGTTCTTAAATTTTAATAAATCAATTAGACCATCATATGGTTGAACTCTTCCAAATTCTCTGAACACATACAAACTTCCAAAAATATTCCCATGCAAGCTAGGGAACATTATTTTTTCCTCCACTGTAAATGAAACAAATCTAAAATCTAAAGGCAATGCCTTATTAACTTCAGCACTACTTTAATTCCATTTACACATGAAAGTAAAGTCATTTCACAGAGTACCACTGTTACTATTTTTGATACTATAAAGACCAGGGCCTCCTGTCACAGGCCTGATCTCAAAATAAGCAGGAGTTAATGGTAAACAATGTGGTTGTTTATCGGCTGACTTCTCAAACAACTATACCTGACATCTGGTTTTCCAGTAGATGATTATTAGAAAGGTGTGAAATACATACTTAGAAAAATGAATAAAAAATTATTATTATTTTCACCTTATTAAAGGTGAAAAATTATCCCACCTTTAACAACAATCTTCTAGTTTTAAGTAAGGCCGAAGTTATAGAAAAGGGAATTAACTCATAACATAATCAAAGTTGACAAAAATTGTTAAGCACTTCTATTCTCCCTAATACTACCAAAATGTCCAGTCAGTGAACACAATTCTTAAATGAACTAAAGTATTAACAACTGATCTTGCAGTGTGATTGGACCCTGAAGTGACCAAGTCAACCACAGAAACATTCACAGCTTTTGCACTTTGAACTAATATTCTAAAGTATTTTTTTCTTGATGCTGCTGCACATTTTTCTGTATGCTCTGGAGTGGTTTTTTCCTGGAATTTCTATTGTTTCTATTAAGTCATGAGGCTCTTCATGCAGTACAGTAAAATTTATAAACTTCACAAGGCTAACGTACTTACTTCAAATGAGACACCTTTATCATTTCAATAGCTGGCTCATCATTACCTCGCTCCCCACGAAATGCGATGCTCCTGCCTGGGATGCAAAAATGACGTAAGGGGGGAAAACAGAAATGGTTACTAAACTAAATATAAATATAGAAATAGTTTATAAACTATTCTGTTTGTAAACAAAAATAGTTTACAAACTAAACTAGAACATCTCCAAGTAATCCGCCAGATCTTACATTACCCTTGTCATTGTCAAAGGTTTACTGGCTTCCAAAGGACTAAATACAATGTAAACTCTACTGTCTAATATAATACCTGACTCACTTCCAGAGCACAACTATTGAAAATGATGCATCATCAGCATTGCATAAATACAGAGAGAGAGTTCAAAGAGTTATTACTTTCTACTCCAAGCCAATGAGATATACTCTCAATTCCCCAGGGAGGAAAGTAGTGAGTAGATTTCAAGTTTTCCAAGAGAAATTAACTCTGCCATAAACTAAGTCTGACAGTACTTCCATGAAGCACTAACTCATTCTTCACCTAGCAGAACCATTCTCTTTTTCTTTCCAGCTAAAAGAATAAACCCTAAGAACTTACAATCTTTTCCCCAACAAAATATTCAGCCAACTGTACACAGTGTTGCAGAATTAAAGGTGTTACACATATCACTAAGATAAATAATGATCTACAAATACCAGGGTATCAGGGCATCTCCTATGCCGGTTTCATTCTCCTTAGCTTTCAAGGAAAATTCAAGTTTTCAAACTTTAGCCACTCTTATGGCTGCTCACAGCTAAATTACTCATCTTATGCCAACAATGTGAATAAATCCAGTTTTCAACAATGCTAGTTAGAGCTCTCATGTCAGGGGTCAGGCTCCAAGAAACCTTCCAGCACTATTTTCTTCATTAGTGATCAAACACCCATGGAATTTTATTCCTTATCATTCTTTAGAAATGTAAATGAGAGTTTTGTCAAAGTGTTCATGAAGTAAATACAAATCAGCACAGCTTTCCTAGAATTAAAATAGAAAGCTGGTCTAATTAGTGATGGAAGACCCAACAATCAAACAGTTCAGTAGCTGTGCCTTTCTGGGAGTTGTAAAAGAGGAAAAGTAACATTTTTTTAAGCAAAACAAGTGCTAAGGTGTCAGGTATTCACATTTAGTTAGAACTTGGTTGCCTGCAGAAATACTGAAATACTGAGCCTTTTATCACTTACATTTATAAACGTTTCAATACTGATTTGCAAGCCGAGTGAAAAATCAAAACCCCATTTTACACGAAATGAATTTTACAAAGTACATCTCTTTTCTGGTTTGATTTTAAACAAATGAACAAAAGATACTATCAGGAAAAAATTACAGTATTCTTATGTTAAAAGAATAGCCTCTATTGTGCTGCACCCTGTAAACACAAAAACTGAATCTTTTCCATAAGCTTAAAAAAACCAAAACCACTTTATGCTAAATAAAGCAATTTGGAATTAGCCATGTGTTACAAGATTCAAGCTCTTCAATTACAAATTAAATGGCTCCAGGTTTTTCCATTCAAAAATAATTTAAAATTATTGAAGTGCTTCCTGTTTTGGGCTGTCTAATCTTCCAAATTATACCTTCTGGTATTGTGCAAATATTGAACTCAATCACAAATATATCTGTCATTCATTATAAGGACAGAGTAGTTGAAAAACACACATAATCTGACCGTTAGTTTTGTTATCAACTATTGTATTTTTTTTTTTCTTTTTAAACCCTTCTAATTTCATTATTAAAATACCCATTTTACATTCATATACACACTCAGATTCTGGCCACATGTCTGGCCTACCTTGAAAAATTATCTGTTGCTGACACAAACCACAATAAATAGTTCAAGATTGTTTCAGGTGCACAGGAAATAATGGGTGTGGACTGTGACAAAACACATTTGGAAATATATACATTTTGTCAATAAAATACACCACTAATACCCATGCTGTGTGAATGCTCCTAAACCTCCTGCTGACACATATTCATTCTCCTAATAAGTGCAAGCCACAGGCATCTCCCCAGAAGTGTTGTTTCAAGTCTGTCTCTAGAGCACCAGATGGAACACATTACGTCACTTCACAAAGACAGAAGAGCAGAACCAGTTAAAACTCCTCTTTATTTTATTTTTGACATGACAACAGAAGGAAAAAAAAAAAAAAAAGTAGTAAGAACAACTCCCTGTCACTCCTCAGCAAATCTGTTATCCTTTTGTATAGACTTCTCAGGAAATACTAACCTGTTGGTAGGTCCACCAGCTGCAGCTCATTCCTTACTAGCCCCAAATTGTTAGGTGTTGATGTGGCAAAGGAAATGAATCCAGTCAAGCTTATCCACTCAATTCCCCTGTCATCAGAAGAGCATACATGGAGTATATTAGCCAAAATATTCAAATGGTTAGAGAATAGCCTGGACTTAAGTACAATCATTTTCTTCATGCATATTCTTCTATTTGAAAACAGCACAGAAGTAACATTCTACATCTAATAGAAATACTATATTTAAGCATAAAAAAGAAGCTATGCATTTATAACTATGATGTAAATATAAAGTTACCAAATTAAAGCAGAGCTTTCTTTTCAGACTACACTGGTTCTTCTTTGGTTAAAACAAAAATTTCAGTTAGAAACACTGGTAACTTTTGCAAAAATCCCTCACAGATACTTAATACTAGGATGGACTAAAATCACTGCTCTCATTAAGTGATTTACCAGATGGGAAGAACTATTAAGTATCTCAAATCTGCCAGCATACAGAAAGAGAAAAGAACTCATAGGGATAGCAAGGTGGGAGGACATGATTCTTTCAGTCCCCAGAGAAGAGAAACAAAGATGACAAAACAAGGCAGGCCCTGTAGAGATTTCAAAGGCTATCACAAAAGAACCGATTTTTAAATTTTTTTTTTTCTCTCTTTTAGGTCATGCCAAGGCAGCCACAAACCAAATTACCTTGAAGTCTTCCAAGGATGTAAAGTTACACTGTGCATAACATATTGTCAGCACATAGAGATGCTAAGCAAATTCTTGAGATATACCACAGGCCACAAAAGAATTGAAAGTAGCACTAGGTGGTACTCTTCCAGAACGAGATAGTCCTCCCCACCCCCATTTCCCACACACACTTCATGCCAACATGAATGATTGAGTGCTTTATCTGTGAAATAAATCAAGGAACTAATCTAAACCAAAATTGAGATTGTTCTAAAACATACATAAGCCCAAACTCATTTTAACACAGGTAAAAGGATTTAAATTTTCCTCAAATTCTTCAAACACAGATTACTTAAGAACTATTTCCAGGACAATTAAGTCTTCTGTTACATCTATTGTTAAATTATGATCTGTTTTGCAAGAATACATGTGAAATATGAGAAAGATAAATAACAGTATTTATTATTTACTGTCAGTAAATCCAACTGACATTGTATTAAATAGAAGTTTCCTAAATGCAATGGAGATGGTGAATGCAAAAAAATGTGAAGCTTTATTCCTAAGTCCCCAAGTGAAGTTAAAAATTTAGGACCCAGTCCTTTTCCCACCAGGACCTATGGAAGTTCAATCAATAATTTCAATCAAAATGAGAAGTATTCCATTATTAATTGAAACATTACAGGAATGATTGAATAGAAATCTACATTTGCAATAACATGTGACACTGCAAGTCTCCAAAGGGTCACAAATACAGGGAGCTTTCTGAAATGAAAGAAATATTAATTCTGACACCTTTCTAATTTTTATCTATTATTCTACTATGATTTTTGGAAAAAGCACAGAATGCACATAATGCATTGTTATTGCCAGTAGTTATTTACCATTCTCATTCAAAGACCTGAGGCATTTTCTACAATTCTTTCATCAGCTCAGATTTAACTGGAAAAGTAAATTTCTTTGCTGCTGGCTGGCAATCTGTCAATACTAATAAAAATCTACAGAAACTCAAGACACTCATAATCAAAAGGAAACCTTAGTTTAGCTAACTGCTTTTTTTTTTATAATCTTTTATATTGTCATAATAGAAATATTTTTTTATTGTCATACATGTAAATTGTGAATCCAAACACAGTGGTTCAAGTTTTAATGAAAGAAATAAGTAATGTCTTCCCAATTTAAATACCTGAATTAGCAGATTTCCTAATAAAAGACATCGTTTACTAGAATTAAGAGTTACATTCAGCTGTAAACTATTTCTCAGACTGGATCTACTCTCAAAATATGAAATTCAGGGATTCTATACATTCAACTTGTCTCACTTACATAAGGGGTAAGATTCAGTTGTTTTGATTAATGTCTCCAATGCAAACAAATTACATAGTGTACCAAAATGGATAAAAATATCAATCACTTTTCTAGTTGGGAATGGATTGTTGTGACTCTATGACAAGGTAGCTGCTACTCAAATTAATTTTGAGAAAAAAAGAAAGGTAAAATTGGAAATACATTCGTATCTTAAAGAAAAGTGTATTAAAATCTCAATCATATTATCAGAAAATACTCTCAGCCTCAGATTTTATTATTTAAAAATAATTTTCCTTGTACTTCAAAAACATTTGTATGGTCTACATGTCCAAAAGTGAACATCAGCAATGGAACAAGTTTTTCCTTTTTAAGAAGGGGAAAGTTAAGAAAAAGAAATTACAGTTAAGTGCTGAACATGGTACATCTGAGATAATTGTACATCCTGTAATGAAGACTTCAGAATTCAATTCCAAATACACAGGATTTCATTCCAACACCACTTATGCTTGTCAGGCAAAGCATATTTAATAATGCACACAAATAAATCTAGCACACCAACACCTGTACAACAGAAGTGATAGGTTTTTTCAGTCATTTTTCTCTACATGAGGAAAGATTTTTAAGGAGGTAATGAATGTTTGCAAAGCAACCTCCCAAAGGGGAGTCAGCTTAAATTCAACTGCTAAAACTTGGATATAATGCAGAAATTTTCAAGTACTGCCTATAGGCCATATACATTCTTGTAACAGTCAGTGAGATTTTTATTTTAAAAATTAAAGCTGTTGCAACCTTGAACTTGCTGAGCTTTAGTGAAAAAGAATAAGCACTGCTCTAGTCATAGTTATCTATCTATCAGAATAAGCTAAAGTAGCAGCGAGAGGCACTGCAAATGCACCAACCACTTCCACTGAACAAGAAGCTGCATTTCAGGCATTTTATTTACATGTCTCCTATCTTACCACGATAGCTCAAACCCCTCCACTTAAAAGACAGAACAGGTGGTACCAGATTTCGTTATTCCATGGTTCTTCTAATTCCTCTTAATAAGTATTAATTGCATTTCTCTGCATCCTGAAGGAAGAAAAACTGACCTCCTGCTCACAGCTTCTGTCAGCCAGCACACATGCTATAGTCACCCTCTCTTTTATCACCTCACTTATGCTCCTAGCAGTAACCTGACTGACTTCTCCTCTCTGTATGCTCTGAAGTATTTTTGCTGCTTCTTGCCCCAGTCTCCTAATAAAAAACAATTTAAACTCAAAAGGAAAAGTATTTACTCACATAATCCTAAAAAAATAGTGAAATAGTTAAGTAACAATCATGGACAAAATGAATATTGAAGGTTACTCACAAATATAAACCATCTTAAATGCAGGACAGAAAAAACATTCACTGTACAAATCAAAATACAGAACTGCAAAGTTTAAAAATAATTTTTAAAAAAATCAACATGTGACTACATATGTAGCTTCCAAAAAAGAACACTTTAATCTAAAAAAAAAAAAAATAAATATATATATATATATATATGTAGATTGCTAGCACCTAGACAACTCGGTGGGCATTATTTTAGCACAGTCTATATGTAAAGGACAGTTGCCATTCCAAACTCCTTAGTTTTATTACATTCTGCTCTTAAGCTTACAAGGCATTGAAAACTCTGTTGGCCTAGAGTTACAATTCCAGGGTATTCTCAGTTACAAACTAAAATAACAGGTGTTCCCTGAAGGTGTATTTTCAGTTAAAACTGAAATACAGAGATTATCCAATCTATCTGCATTTTAGAGATAAAGTAAGAATTCCCACTGAAAGAAAAACTGTTGCACTCCATGAATATTAATTAAAAAACCCCCAACATTACTATGCCTTATTCTACATTGCCTAAAGCACTTCCTTGCATTTGTAAAATTTATGCAGAAAGTCACTCAGACCATTAAAAGCAGGACTCAGGCAATTAAAACAAATATTTAAAAGACTTACCCAGGTAACAGCTTATGACTAAATAAAATTCAAAATCATTTAAATCGTGTCCTAAAAATATCACCTGTGCAAGGACAGTTCCTAGAAAGACAATGTATTCAAAACCTTTGCAAAGTGAAAAGCCCAAACTAACAATACTTCCAATACTACATGAAGCCTAAATAAAAGATAAAGAAATAATTTTTCAAAAGCCTATTTTCTCCTGTCTCCTGATCTTGGTTTTTTTGGTTTGTTTCCTTAACCTGTGAAATGTTAGTAGCAGTTTTAACTTTGAATTCTATAACCAACTTGATGAGAAAAAAAAATAGCAGTATTCTCTTGTGCTGCATAACAGAACATAAAATGAAAATAATTTTGTAAGCAGTTAATGGTACAAAACAAAAAAGCTCAAATGGTTTTGAACAGAAAGGGAAATTCTATTCTTACAGTGCCTATATTCTCCATACTTAAATCTGTCTAGAAATATGTAGCCAGCAAACACCACCTTTAGTATTTTTGCCATTAGTTATCCAAAAAGTTATGCCATTGTGTACACACAAAAACACAGTATGACAGCTTTAAAACTAAACTCTCTTCCTCACTTAGGATGGATAAATAAGAGTCCTGTATTTGCTCTTTAAAATCTTTTAACAATAAAATTTTTGTCACTTCAATTAGGACTAGAGCTGTCTCAATAGCAATTTCAGCCCCAAGGGGACAAAGTAAATAAAACTCTGGCATACAAAACATTTATTTCAAAGGACACAATTTTGAGTCATGACAGTTATATAAATAAGACACTATTAACAAAGTTTCTTGTCCTAAAAAGACTTCTTTGTACTACAATGCACTAAAGACACTGGAAGTAGGTGATATGCATCTTAAATCAGCAGGCACAGATACAATTCAAATATTTAGTTCAGTGTAATTTTTACTCTAATTTTGACAGTGTGTTACCACTTATACATAGCAAAGATACTGTTAAGGTAGATGACTCAACAGGCAATTTTCTGGCGTGTCATTAACAATGAAAACAAGACACCCACATTGCTGGTACAACGTTAGTTACGTGTTTTGTCTCCCAGAAGGATTATAGTAGGAATTAAAATTAAAATCTTACTTGACTTCACAGGAATGGATGCTTAACTCTTTGTGTAAAAGTCCACTTGTAAGATGAAACACCAGGACAGAGCCATTACTTGTACCTATAAAAAAACCCCCAAAATATAATAAATATAGACTCATTCTTTTCTTCCATACTTTAGTGAAATTGCAGGATTTAGAGCTGTTTCTCTCTTTTTTTTTTTTTTTAAACACCTGTAACTTATATTTTACAATTTTAGAAAAGGTGTTTTGATTTCTAGTGCTTAAACCCCAAATATTAAACCCTCCAAAATTCTCTGCAGCCAGTGAAATCTATTTGGATCAAGACATTTTCCTGAACCTACTTGCAGAGCCTGTAGAAAATCTGTTCATTTTTGCATTTTCACAGCACACACAGTTGCAGGGGTATGGAATGTTGCTTTTTGTTTTGATTACTCAAGATGAGTAAATGCCTCAGGGAAGAGTATTAACTGTTATCCATCAATAATCCAAGGGAAGAATCATGGGTAGATTTAACCAAATCATTAAAGCAATTCTGCTTTCTCATCCCTGAAATAACGACCTTTTTCAAATTACAAATCAATAACTTAGCAGCTATTAGCTTCAATTAGATCAAACACCTTCTGAAACACTGAAGGTTACAATTTGTTACAATACACTTTGAAGATTTACTTTTCCTTTTCTTTTTTCTTTATATTCATATCAACTTTACTAAATGCAACAATGGATACCTAAAGAGTCATTCAGGTACTTTAAGTCAAGAACCCTGCAGACCTTGCTGTTAATGCACTTTATACCTACCTATGAGTTTCCTAATCTTTATATTTCACCTGTTTTAACAGCTACAGGGTAGATAAAAATAAAAAGTCACATTTTAGTAGCATCACATCACGTAATGATAGCTTGCCTACATTTCAGAGCACAACTATTGATGGTACTTTTAGCTCAGTAATAATATAAGTACTGTGAGAATTGCCCACATATTATATATGCACTATTATAGCATTTTCTTTACTGGAGTGAGATTATCTTTGTAAGATCCTGTGTAATATTCACCTGTACAATCCCCCAGCTAGCCCTGTCCAAAAACCCAAGGCTCTACAGCACAGGCAACCTTAAGAATAACAAAAAACTCCCAAGAGGTAATTGTGACAGGCACAGCTGTGACAGGGCAACTGAGAATCAACTGGTATCTTAGATCTACCAAAAGCACATTTGAACAACCCAAATCTGGAGGTCTAATTTTACAGCCTACTACAATCTTTAAATTATGGCATCTATGTGTCTACTGTTCCAGTCCACTGACTGCAGAGAGAGACAGCAGCCTGTGTGGATACAATGTGAAATCCCCAATGTGGTCTGAAAGAACATGCCAGAAAAATCAGATTTAAATAGGAAGAACTCAGTGTGAATAAATCAGGTGCTCACTGGCAACTGTTGCAATATCTAGATGAGTTATCTACATTTCTAATCAGACAGAATAGATTAATTCAGGAAAAATAACATTCTTTATGCATATATTTAGGGACTCGCATCATAACAAAAGTATAGTCTCTGTTAAGTTAATTTAGTTATGGTAGGAATGCAGTGCTGAAGAAGTCTGTATTTAGTCATATTTGGAATGCAGTGACAGTTTCATGTAAAATGCTGAGCATATCAACAGACTAATATCATAGTAACTGAAAGGATCAATTTCCTTTCAGTTACTATGATATTAGTATAAACTGGATGATCTTTAAGGTCCCTTCCAACCCAAACCATTCTATGATTCTACGAAATACAAATTGGTTAATATAATGCAATTTTTCAGGCAGCAATACTTAAATCCAAGGCAGTAAAAAAAAGAAACCAAAGACTATCATGGATGTAAAGCAATTTGAGGACCATTATTGGTGATAATTTACATAGGATCAAAAAACAGAATTTTTTCTGTGTTAGCGACTATATTTGTATTTAATCTAGAATTTAAGCTTTTCAGAGGAACCAATAAACTATTCAGGATACTTACCAACAGCAAGCATTGGCTCATATTGTTTAATGTTTTTTGTTGTAAGAGGGGGGCACATGCGGATTGCAAATGGAGGCAAAGGAAGCCCTGAAAGAAGTCCAGTCAGCAGAAATTTGAGGTGCACTTCTTGCAGGAAAGAAGTTTTCAACTGTTCTTCTCCAGCAATTGTGCCTTGCCCTGCTTAAAAATTAAAGCTCTTGTTAGTATATCATTTTAATCTGAGATGTTACAGAAAGTTACCAGACTTCATAAAAGTTATCAGAGTTTATAAAATAAAAATTACAAATAATCTATCGTATACACTAGTAATGTTTATTTAAAGAGGCATTCCTTCCTGTTGAACTCTGTGTGACAAAACTTTTTGGAAGTCTGCACTTCAGCTAATTCATCCAATACTAGCTTTCTTTCCTAACACTAAAAAGGGAAAAAAATAAAAGGTAAGGAAGAGGTAAAAAAAATTAAGTGCAATCATTTCAGTCTTCTTCCAGAATTCTAGGGTATTTTCTATTTCTTTTTCTCCTTTTATTTTTTAAAGTTAGTTACAAATATTTTTAAAGTATTATACCAATTCAAAGATTTATGGAGGTATAACTCCAAACAGTAAAAACTGAGTGCAATTTACAGGTAGAAATACAGTGAATTTGCTCAGATACAACAATACAGATGGGCACAAAAAAGATATAATTCCTCTGTTGTACACTTTCTGCAGTCAGTTGGACCAGTCCGAGTGATTTAAAATACAAATAACAACAGTTATGATGTCAGTGACTACAGGAAATGCAGATAAGAGAAAAATCATGCCCTAACTGCCATCTTCAAACACATGAGATAAAATGCAAAAGAATCTCCCACAGTGGTAAGCTGCCTGCACCTAACAATACAGACAACTTTCACCAGACCAAATCCAAATGAGCACCTTCCTGTCTCTGAGAAGCACTAGTTGCTTTTCCAATAAAAATTAATTTTAAAACACAGAGGCAACCACCTTTATGGAACATTTCTCAACACTGAAGTGTTGGTTGCTACCTAGATTTCACAAAGATGGATGCATCAGATAACTTTTCTTCATATGTTAAGCTTAATTCTTAAAAGTGAAGCAGTTCTGGGAAAATTCCACTTTTTTTTTTTTTTTTTTTGACTCAAAGAATGAACTTTGAACACTGGTCCTCAACAGTGGTCCTCAAAACGATTAATTTGATAATTTCTTTAGCAAACAGGAATTTATTTTCTTTCAGAATTACTACTTAAACTGCACAGAAAATAATTCTAACATATGTAGTTCTTAAGTAAGTTAAAATGTACAGTGATTCAAAAAGCCTAGAAATGAGTAGCAGCAAAAACAGCAAAAGAAATTCTTACCAATCATGTTGTCTAATGAGAGGTCTGGAAGTTTATTTTGGAATGCTCCTACAGGAATTCCACAGAATGAGACTGGGGAATACAAAGGTGATGCACTTGAACTGCTGTAAAAGAAAGGAAAACAAGTTCCTAATACAAACTGGATCACCTGTTGACTTAGGCTGTCCATTTTGGTTTTTCCCCAGATTGACCTTTCAGTATTCCCACCATTTACTAGCTGCAGAGTATTTTGAGATTATTCCCAACATCAACTTCCATGAACAACTCTACTAGGAGATAACACACACAAAAATGTACAATATTTAAAATAATTTTCATGTTCCTCACACAGATATTTACAAGTAACAGAAAAATAAACTGATGTATCCCTTGTTCTAAAGTGTACTTAAGCAATGAATGGAAGCTTTTAAATATATTGTCTATCAATACGTAGAGCTGTGTTGGTGAACACAGCTAAGAATTAATCATAAATACTTGGACATTTAAGAACAGATTCCCAAACTCTGGGAATGGTTTTTATTTAACTATATAAACTTCTTATATAGTTTCTAGATGATGAAATCCATGACTGAAGCAACGCCTTTCACCTAAATATGTGAAACACAATTGCCTCTGCATAGACAAAGCTACAGCAGAAACTTACAGTATGATCTATGTTTACAGTCTTGTGTGATATCTGTGCCTCAGGTTTTGTGTTATTTTTTCCCCAATGACTGTGGGTGAGTTCCAGCACAATCTCCATCTAAAAGGGACCCAAACAGCCCCTGCAGCCTTGGCAATCACATCTTGCTGGGGCTGAGGACAGATCTACATCACAAGCAAAGACCAAAGGCTACTGACTGCACCCAGCTGTACACACAAATGCAGTTTAAGGCACATACAAAGCCTTTTTCATTAAAATCTCACTTTGTCAGACTTCGAGTTCAAATTTTAATTAAGATCATCAAATCCAGCAGGATCAAGAGCTAATGGAGGAAGACTCCTTCGAAATCCATTAAAGACTCTGTGCCAACTAGAAATATGCTTTATTTTTCAGTACAATCCAACCATATCCAGAATCCTCTTGGATCAGTGGTTCTTATATTATTATTACATTTTTTTCTGGTTATATAATCATGACAAAAATCAATGTCTTAAAAATAAGCCTAAGAATCCAAGAAGTAACAACCAGCAACATGTGGATCTTAAACATCTCTCCTGGATATACATTTTTGGGAACACCAAGAATATAAACATTAAATCAGTGGTGAGAAACAAAAGGATCTATATTGAAAACCTGGCATTTCTGACATTTAAAAGTCTACTAAGAATTCTGTATTTCTTTTATGGTAGTAAATTATTTATTCTATTCAATAGTACTTTAAAGGCTTATTGCAGCAGAATGACCTTAATACACAGAATGTTTAAAGATCTGTAGTACTTCATATTGTATTTTTAGAGACTGCTCAAAATTTAAAACTCTTAAGGCTTTGTATATAAAAAATATTGTTTATATCACCATATTCCAGCCACCTGCTGTGCAGCCTTATACTGCTTAGTGTCAAATTCATACAAATCTAACAGAAAACCTTTCCCCTAATAAAATGCAGTCCTTCCCAGACTCATTTTGCAGTCTTTTCATGTGATTGAAAGCAAGAGATTCATTCCTGAGGAAAATTATATAGTCTGAAGAAAGTCAAATGAGAGGAAAATGTTCCCCCAAAATAATGTGAATATTCATTCCAATCTTTTGTTTCCTTAGTCCAACCACTTAGTATGGAATTATTTTTTTAAAGAGTAAATACAGTTCCCTCACTTTCCCAAAGTGAACTGATCTATTTGGATGATTTTGTCTGTCTTCCTTTCATTCATACACATGTATAGCACAGGTCACACTACCATATACACAGGATACCACCGTTGCTTTTAGAATATAATTTACAGCTACACATCATTTGTAAATGTAACAGATGGAAACTTTGAGAAGAAAAATAAAGCCCATTACCTGTTACGCACATTTCTGCCAGAAATACTGGATTTTAATTCCCAGATCATTACCCTGCCATCACTGACTATGAGAGCTGCAGAATTCTCATTCACCGGGCAACACACCATACTGAAGGGTCGAACTGTTTTTGTGACCCTGATCGCATCACACTGACTTCTTAAATCATAAATCAGCTCCTGAACTGGGTCTGGATCTGTAACATCAATGTCCCACAGAGGAGAAAGAATTAGAAGGTAAAACATACAATGTGATCAATCAACAGAGGTAAATTTGCAGGATGACTGAGCTCTTTGGTTGAAATCCACACGCTTCCTGTGCAACAATTAGGAAAAATAACAAAAAACTATATACTGTTGATCTTGCTGCACATAATACAGCTTTGAAAACTTCTACAAAATATAACATTATCTTTAAAATATCTTATTCCAGATGAACCTTGTAAAATCTAAAAAAAATTACATTTCATATCTGGGTAGAAAGTGCATCTGCTCTCCACAATCCAAAACTCATTTGGTTTATTGGTAAACCTGGAAGTAAGTAAAGTAGCTCACTAGAAATTACCAAACTGTCAAAACCAAAACAAGCTAAACAAAAAAACTCTAACAAAAAAATTACTTATTTACATTTACAGAACTATGTGTTCCCTTCCTTTTTTCCAGTCTCCTCCTTTATATTTAAAAGGTCATTCTTACCAAAATTTCATGAGAGACAAAGGTTTAATAATTTAGATCTTAATCTAAATTTAAGCCCATGTCTTAGTTCTAAAATCAGTTCTTCCCATTCACCAAATGACTCCCAAAACCTTGTGTCTGACTGAAAAATATGATTTTTTTTCCTTAAAGATAAAAAAGAACAAACTAATCATCTTTTATCTAAAACTTTCTTGTATGTGTGACTGTTAAGTCACTTCATAATTAAAGTATTATTTAGTGATAAAAGGATTTTCAGGATATTAATATCTTATTTTGCACTAAGTTTCAGGGAAGTAAAAAACAATTTTGGGAGAATGTAGCATAAATTTAAATTTAATGCATAAACACTACTAGAAGGGCTGTAATTCACCACCCCTTGGTGGTATGAGGCATGATGGTTAATATTGTTGTTAAAGTATTAATTAAAATGCCCCAAAGTTCCTTTCTGGACATTTTTGAGACAAAAATTACCTGGCTCTTCATTTGGAGTTCCAGTTATACTGCAATTAGATCTGCGAACTCTTAAAGTTATACAACCATTTTCATGTAGGCAAAATAACCCATCACGCTGAAAACAAGGAATTACCTAAGTGAAGAGACACCACATGATATTGAGTTATCAAAATCTTATCCTTTGCAAAGTACACTTGCAAATGAACATACAATTTCTGACGTATAAGCAAGTCACTAAAAATGTTTCCATTAATGCAACACTTCAATGAATGTCTTTAAATACAGTAATCAATTTGAGAAATTCATTGAAAGTTCAAATTATGTTTTGATTTGGTTTGTTTTTGTTGGTTTTTGGGTTTTTTTTTTTAACAATGACATCTTCATATATATTATTTTAGCTATCACTTTAAAAACAAACAAAAAAACCTTTGGTTTTTGGTATCAGAATTCATGATTCCAAGAGAAAAAAGATGCTTCGATAAGACCGCAGAGTAGACTTAGCTATCTAATTAAGCAAAGTCAGATGCTCAGAAAACTAGTATTAACTTGTGTGTAAGCAGCTTAACCACCAGAGAACAAAATGACCTTTTCCACACTGGTAATTTCTGTAACACCCCAAAATGAAGTGGGTTTGCTGCAGAGTTTGGAAAAAAATATTAAACAATGCTTGGTTCAGAGGATATTTTCTCCCTGGTGAGGTAATTTTTTTTCATCTTCTAGAACTAATCAAAGCACAACTATTAATGAGTCATGAACTTACATATGATCTTAATAAACTATCACAGTGATAGAAATAAACCAGATTTTCATTACCTGTAGGAAAGGCACACCTGTTCTTTCAATTGCAATCACACCCACTGTTTGATTCACTTCCAAGTCAAGAATCAAAATTTCTCTGGGGTACAATAGCAGCATGTAGTTTCTTTTGGAAGGCAAATATGACAACTGAAGACAGTCGTTGAGTGTTACAGATTCAGCACTGCAAAACATCAGATATAAAGTTTAACCAAGTCCAGTATCAACAAACACTTCACGTTCAAAATACAATTAACAGTATAAGTTTTCCTGCAGCTGCATTTTTTCAAGTATTCCCTATTCTAATCACCAGTGAACTGTAGATTTCCATTTAATTGCTGCAGCACTGCAAAGCATCACTGACCTTTAAAAGACAGTCTGTTGACTTTTATCTAAATAAGGTTATAGAGTAATTTTTAAAATCATATGTAATTCAAATGGAACAAGTGTAACTCTTGCACGTCTCAAATATAAAGCAACTCAGTTATGAACAGTGCTAGCTGCCATGACATTTACAGGTATTCATGGGAAACTGCCCTTAAACATAGTGCTTACTTCACTTTTTATATTATTATGCATATTACTTTATTTTGAAATGAAAAGAACTAGCCTATCAAGAATATCAGTCTTCAGACTCAAAGACTTTAAGTAGCAAAGAGCA